CCGATTCCCCCCCCCCCTCGACAATGTTGCCATGTGTTCGCTGGCTCCAGTCACTCCTCGCTCTGCTCTCCTCCACCATGCCGACCTGGGGGCAAAACAGCTGCCCGAGCCGCTGCCTGTGCCCGGACCCCCACACCGTCAACTGCAGCGGCCGTGAGCTGAGCAGCCTGCCGGACCCCCTCCCCCTGGATGTCCGCCGCCTCGTGCTCTCCGACAACTCCATAACCGGGATCCCCTCCGACTTCCTGATCCTCTACAGCGACCTGGTCCACCTGGACCTCCGTAACAACCTGCTGTCGCGCATCGAGCCCGGCACGCTCAGCACCTCCTCCCGGCTCGTCTTCCTGGACCTCAGCTGCAACAACCTGACGGAGATCCCGCCGGGGACGTTCGGCGAGTCGCGCAGCCTCATCAAGCTACGCCTAGGGAACAACTCGCTCCTGAGCAAGGTGAGCGAGGATGCCTTCAAGGGCCTGACGTCCCTGTGGGAACTCGAGCTGCAGGGGAACGCCCTGTCCTGCCTGGATGTCCGGGTGCTGAGCCGCCTCCCCTCGCTGCGGCGGGTCCGTCTGGAGGGGAACCCCTGGGTGTGTAACTGCAGCTTCATCAAACTGTTCACATGGCTGTCTGAGAACACGCTGAAGCTTCCTACAGGTAAGCCTCTTACGTGTCTGTCCTGCAGCCCGCCGGACCCCTAACCTGCTGCCCCCCCGGGAGTGTCATCCTAGATTACTCTGGCTTGTTTGCCGTGTGAAGGGGCTCGTTCCCAAAGCTCAGGGTTTCCTCGTTCTTTGAATCGAATGAAAACCCCATCCCTGCACCCCCAGCACTTTCTCGGGAGATGCTCTGCTGCGGGGGGGGGGCCCGATCCGGCATCCCCCATGCATCTCCAAACCCTGCCCTCGTGTGTAAATCACCCACCCCCCATCAGCAGAGCGATCCCTTCCCCCGGAGTCACCCACTGGTGTGCAATGTGGGGGATCAGCTGCTTTGGGGGGGGGCAGTGTGAATCTGCCTGGGTGCCCGGGCAGCGGCATGGGCGCGGGGGTCTCAGACCCTGCCCGTGTCCTGCTGCTGGAAGTCGCCGCTTACAGGAGGATAGAAGCAGGAAGACACCCGCTCTCTCACTTTCCCTGCCTCTACTCACAAGCAGCAGCACAACTGTTATCTTTACACGGCCGTGCCTAATTTAGATTTCCAACATTTATTCTGACAGATGGGAAGTTGGATAAAAACACAGGAGACTCATATCGCGGTGGTGAGACGTGGAATGAAAGATTGTAATTCTGTGCTCAGCAAAGCGTCTAACGGCACGGTGGCACATGTCCACACCGGCACGATTCTAAGGCGTCTGTTAGTGAAAGGAGTTTTTTATCGGAATAAAAATTTGAGAGGACAGTTAATATAACCGCTGGAGAAATCAAGCTTTCCTGTTAGTCAGTATAAACGTCTCATTAAACGACTGCGTTTTACTTACCAAGTTCTGAAGTGAAAGATTCCTCTTGCTAATTTGGCTTTCTTCAAACTCAACGACTCTTTCTCTCTCTTTCTCTCTCTCTCTGTCTCTCTGTCCCTTTCTCTCGTGTTCCATTTAAATCCGAAACTCCTTATTAATATATTGAAGCGAGGGGCCCTGAGAGGAACAGGGTTCAGTAACTCTGGCTCTAGGACGAGGTCTCAGGACGTAATTTGCGTTTTGTCACTCCCGTGACATGCCATGCTGTATAAATGAGCATATAATCGTTATCTAAATCACATTGGAAAAAGCTGTCTAAGCACCTAATGACAGCACAGCATAACAAAAGGATGCGTGAATAACTGTGGGAGTTTTTTTCGATAATGCATTAGACTAGTGTCATAACATTGTGGGAAAAAAAACACTAAGTCTAATATAAAGCTATTTTCAAATTAGGGATTCTGCTTTAGCCTAAATTTAATTTCATGGCTATTTATTCTCTGGTATCCTGCCTGCAGATGGACTCAGTTTATTACCAGTATGAGGGTAACATGAGCAGAGAACAACACCAGGATGCAGATGGGATCGATACAAACTGAGCCGGGTGTTTTAATCGTGCTCAAAGAAAGAGGAAACAATTAGCCATAACTGACTAATAAGAAACTGGACTCCTGCTCCACACCCTATTGCGTAATAGGCTGTGTGCTTTAATCATGCTCAAAATAACAGGGAAAAAAGTCACATGATTGAAGATATTTGACTTTCAACAAACCCGCCTCCCGTCTGACACTCCATTGTCCCGCAATGTGCTGTAGTGCGATGCGCCGGAGCTGTTGCGTGCGCATGTTTGATCCTCTGTGTAAAAAGCACTGTCAGGGGAAGACTGAAGCTTAATGAGATCAAGAAGGAAGCTCTCCAAGAGCCATGACAAGCGTGCAGTCAGGCAAGGTGTGTGAAGAACGTTTGGGATGCACACCAGGCCGAAGACTGACAGGGCGAGACCTTAAACTCCACACTTCACTCCAGCAGCTGCCAGGCTTAAGCTGATCTGTTTCCACTGATTAATATTTCAGATTTTGCTTTAAAAAATAACTAGGAAATTAATAACGTGAAACACAAGGATGGTTTAAAGTAAACAATACAATCAATTTCTTACCCGAAGAGACTGAATTCTCTTGTTTGGTGGGTTATACTGCTGGATATGTTACCTGGACTATTTAAGCTGAGTACCTGCTGAGTCAGAGATCCTTCTGGTACTGGAAGAGGGAACCTTAAATTAGGTTCCATTTTCTTTAAAGTCTGAGGCATATTCCCTCGCTCGTTCCTCCTGGGTCTCGGCAAAGACGTGTGAGAATCAAACTCAAGTTGCAAAGAAGCGTTCCAGCGCGTCCGCATGGTGCGAGGACACACAGAGACAAGCTTTTAAGAAGTGCGACTCATTGTGTCATTCTTTGTAATGTCGACCAAAATGCATGTTGTTGCCAAAGAACAGGGAGAACATAAAGTATGGTAAGAGCAAACCTCGACCAGAACGCCAGACGTGCCCAGCGGAGACCATTAAAATATGTAAAGCAGTTTATAGAAGCCGATATTTGTGTCAGCAATGGGCTTAGAGTTATATAACATGTTCCTACACATAACAGTAAAATATAGGCACCCTCTGATCTAAAGAAGCCTCCCTCTCTACATCTGCATCCACTGGTCACTAGTCTTATAATCATTAGAGTTAACAGATTCAAGATGACAGTACAACGAGATTCATTTCAGGTGCCTGAGTTTATATTTTGACACAAATTAATATCGCTCTGTTTTTGGTGGAAAATGTAAAATAGCCATAAAAAGCACATGAAACGCATTGTGACGTCTCACTCGCGATGAAAATTGTCTAACGGGCTACAGGCACAGTCCGTGATGAACAGTAATGATCGATTGTAGAGCTGCGGAGTTCATTTTATTCATAAAATAAAACACTTCTCAATAATGGGCAATATCATGCAGTTTGGCGAGGAGTGAAGGGCAGACTGTACCAGTGCATGTGTGCGTGAGCGAGTAACATAAACACACAGGTCCATGAAAGGGTGTCTTGACATGGCTGGACATGCGTATCAGAGCACTGACCTTGGTCAGGTTCCAAAGCATGAGATTACACTGGGGTTTATATTAGATGACAAGGGCTATGTAACAGATTGGATGTCCTTGCCTCATGTTAAAGGGGCAGCTTACAGAATGCTGATGCAGGGGAGGTGGGCATGTTGCACTCTTCCCAGTGTCATGCAGTGTGTCGGTTCAGTGAGTAGGCAGTCATTTGCTCAAGGTGGACCGCACTGCAGTACATTGAGTGATTATTATCCAGTTAACCAGTGTAGGTCACACCAAATCTGGAGTCTAATCCCTGACGTTGAGTGCATAAGGCAGGGCCACCTTGGATGGGATGGGATACCCTGGAAGTTTCCGGAGCCCTGGAACAGCTGAAATATTTTCAGGGGTCCCAGAATTTCTAGGTATGCCCCCTGATCACAGGGCACACATATTCACACATTATAGGCAATTTAGAAATGCCAATTTACTAGTTTTTTAATTGCATTTCTTAAGTAAAAAAAAAAAACAAATAGAATAACTATACTAGTAATCAGAGTGGGAAAGTTTGTGTTCAGAAAATTCAAATCCAGACCAATATTTTGTTTCAGCCAACTAGTTGAGTACTCTGTGAATAGTTGGTTTCAACTGGTTGGTTGAAACAAAATCATGGTCTGGATTTGTACTTTCTGCACCTGAACTTTCCACTTCTGCCAATAATCACAAGAACTTCTGAATTAAAAGCACCAGAGTGCATGGATATCCTACACACTACTGTGCAAAAGTCTTAGACAGTTTTAGATAAATTTTGAAACTGTTTATCTGGGTAGTCAGTGTATAGTTGCTCAGAATAAAACACAATTTAAAATTAGAATACAAGTGTGTGTGGGTTTTCACTGCAACTCTAATTAGATTACTAATTAGAGGACTGATTGGCTGAAGAGTCCTCACACCTGGGTTCGAACAGGTGACCTAAAGGTTACCCCAAAAACCTGCACACACACCGGCCCTTTGCGGGTAAGATTACCCACCCCAAGGAAGACAAAGAATAAGGCAAAATAAATTCACAAGAATTTCTTATTTGCTCCAGATATCTCGTTCGACGACTAGATGAACATCGGTTTGGTCCCCAACCCTCTCCTCAGGGGGTCCTCAGCCATTCCATGTATTTGTTAAAATTCAGCATCAACTCAATTAATTAATTAGTGGAATTAGTTAACTCAATGAGGCATTGATCAGTCATGCATAGTGGAAAAGTCAGCAAAGACTTGTCTGTATTGGATGGTTGCTGTAAATACTGCAATGGCTTTAGGGGACCTTTCTGAATGACTCAGCATTGACAGACATAATTTCATAGTTTTACACCAACATGAAGATCATTTTAACATAATTTTCTTATGTTAAGACTTTTGCACACTGTTGATGTATGTTACGTACTGTATATAATGACGAAGATTATGGATTGCTAATCTAAAAGTCACTGCTTCAAATACCTGGAGGAAGATTTCTGAGGTACCAATAAATTATTCTGGTACAATAACTCATTTGAAGAAGCAATAGATGCATTGCAATAAGTGCCAGTTATGCGATTAAATGTTAAACGATTTCAAGGGCCAGTCAGCTTGAGATGTACCTCAAGAACATTGATGGTTAAAAGCTGTAGAAGCGGATGAATCTCCTGCCTTATACATCGGAATGCTTGCTGTAATGACAGTGAGTAAGCAATACCCATCTTTAACCTGCTTCCTGTACGTTATGGATTTTTTTAGCTTGCAGTGTCATTATTTAAATCCACGGTTCTTTGTTGTGTCATCCCTTTGAATCAAATTCTCACCTGGAGCTTTTTCTGGTCCGGTGTGGTTGCACCATGTGTTTTAAATGTGATTCATCACATCTGCTGAATAATTGTGCTGAATATTAAGTCACATTTTCATTCAGCAGAAGTCTCTTTTTTTTTTAGGTTTGTTGGACGTTTATTTCAAGCTGCTCCTTTCAGTGACCGAGAAGCAGAATATCCTATTTTCTAGTCTGTCCGTGTTTGGTTCTCAGTGGTTAGAATCCGTGCACTAATAAAAGACAGCTCAGATTAAAATAAATAGCTGGAAGATTCAATAGCTGAATT